GTTTGTAAATAGGATATCAAGTTCGCATCTTGTACAGCAATTAACCACTGAGAGGAATGTATGCAATGTGTTAATTATTGAAACTGTCCTACCAATTTGATTTGAAACTGTCTCATTGCTATTTGTTTATCAATGAAATTATGGGAAAAAAATTTTAAAAATGTATTTGTGACAGGGGCTTCACAGACTCATAGTGATCCTCCCACTTTCAGCCTCCCCAGTGCTGGGATTGTAGCCTTAATTTTCTGTAAGCAAAGAAATACAATTATCTTATAAAAATTATGTTATAATTAAAACAAGGAGATGCCAAAGTCTCAGTTTTGAATACAAGACATAGTCTTTCATTTATTTTACTTTTCCTGTTTCCAAAGTATTCTAACCTTTATTGTATTGTATTTTATTTTTATAACATCTTCTTGGGTGATATTATTGTCCCTTCTGTACACATGATGAAACTGCAATACAGGACTCTCAGATTGTTCTAAGCTTAACTGAAGGCCCAGAGTTTTTTTGTTTGTTGGTTTGGTTTTTAAAAAAAAAATAATAATACAGGGTCTCACTATGCAGTTCAGACTTGTAGTGATCCTCCTGTCTCAGCCTCCCTAGCGCTGGGATTATAAGCATATATCACCACGGTTCCAGGGCTGGTATGGCATGCAGTAGTAGGGATTGTACTCTGGCCCTTGTTGCCAGGCAGGTGCTTAATGCTGCCAGGCTATCTTCCCAACCCTCAGTGCAGAGTTTCTGCAGCAAATATACACTGCCTTCACAGTAGCATGGGAGGAAAATGCTCAGGAGAGTGTTTGATTTTTTAATTTTGTTTTATTTTTGGCACCAGGAATCAAACTCGGGACCTTATGCTTACCAGGCAGGCTCTTATGCCACTGAGCTATCTCGTTGGCCCCTGATTTTTTTATGTCTGTTTTATTTGTTAATTTTTTACATGTAACCTGTTTGGACTGGGTTCTTGAGGACCAACGTTGCTGGATAAAGACTTTAGACTAAGAGATAAATTACTAGTTCAGAGACATGCAAAGGATATGTCTGGTTATTTCTAGATAACTACCAGAATGGCTTTGAAAATAGTGTAATAGTAAAGAGAACGAGGCACTTAAATATGGTTATTATTTTTTAAGCTGTCAACTCTTTGTGATCCTGGAAAACAAAACACAAGCGAACCATTTCAGGCCACTCAAGGAACCAAGGACAGTTTGGAAAGGAAAAAAAACCAAGATAGTAGGTAGGTTCAACATTTTATTATTTGTGTCCCTATATCGTCAGACTCTGCTCTGACCATGTGGCTACTAAATGAACTTTATGTCTAGTGACAGAGGACCTGGGAGTAGTGAAAAGGATCAAGACAGAAGCAGATCTTATCAGATTCTTTCTGCCAAACAAATGAAAGAGCAATGTAATAGGAACTTGCAGTAGAGAGCAGAGGCAACATGGCTGGCTCCTTCACCAGGCAGAACTTATTTTTTGTCCAAAGAACAGTATCTTGCCTTTCCAAAACTGACCGAATAGTTTTCTTTTAAAAGGAAATTCCAGGTACTCCACTTGCCAGTGCTCCAGAAATCAAATTTACTGGAAAACAGGGTTTAACATACTCCTGCCAGCTTGAACCACTTGTGGTTCATGCGTGACTGTCCCATCAGGTAACATGGGACAGTCCCATGTGGTGGTACAAGCTGTCCAATAAGACAGTCATGCATATTGAGCTCCATCATGAATGTATTAAACTATCACTGACTCCACAGAAGTTGAACAGTATTATTATCCTGGAACGTGTGATTTCCTAATGAATGAAATGAATTGATATTAGCAGAAATCCTCTAGGAGTAGAGTATTTATGAGCACTGCATTTTAAATTATTTGTGTAAAACAAAATGTATTACACAAATTATTAAAGAGGACCAGCAAGATGGTTCAGCAGACTAAGCACCTGCGTAGGCAAGTGCAGGAACCGGAGTTCAGTCCCTCGCACCTCATACCACACTGGCCCTGCCTTCAGGAGCACTGGGCCAGCCACTGAGTCCAGGCATGAAGGCTCATGCCTATAATTCCAGTGCTGGGGAACCTGAAAACAGGATCTCTACAAGTTCGAGCTGTGCAGTGAGACCCTGTACCAAACACATTTAAATAATTAATTAAAGAAGCAGTAAGGGCTGGCCAGATAGCTCAGTGAACTAAAGTGCTTGATTAGGCAGACTGCAGGTGCCGGGGTTCGATCCCAGGAGTGCCGTGCTGGCCCCACCCCTGGGGGCACACTGAAACAGCAGTTGAGACTGGGCATGATGGCATGTGCCTGTAAATCCCAGCACTTGGGAGGCTGAAAACAGGAGGATCATTGCAAGTCCAGTCTATATAGTGAGACCTTGTAGTCCCTGTAGATTCTGTACCAAATGCAGAAAAAAAGAAGCAATAAATGCTTAATTTTAAAATTTTAAAAGTTGACATAACTGTTTTTAATCATCCACAAGATGATATTTTGAAGTAAATAACTCGTTGTGGAGAGTTTATTTCTAGGTAATTACAGTTGTATTGCTCGCTGCTTGCATGTGTGCTAGAGTACACGTGCATGCCTACTCCATGCTTTCAAGATTGATGTATAGTCCACTCGTGTGGGCACTATGGTGTATGATACAGGTAAGCACCATTCCCCTACTACTTCCTTTTTTTTTTTTTTTTTTTTGGTGGTACTGGGGATTGAACTCAGGACATTAGGCTTGCCCAGGCAGGTGCTTATGCCCTTGAGCTATCTCCCCAGCCTACTTCCTTTTTTTGTACTGATAATCAAACTCACAATCTCATGCTAGCCAGGCAGGTGCCACTGAGCTACATCCCCAGCCTTCCACTACTTCTGTAAGATTAAGATACTTAGAGTTTCGGGGCTGGTGAGATGGCTCAGGGGTCTAAAGTACCTACTTAGAACAAGCTTAGCAAAGCACAGAGACCTCGGTTCAA